TATATATATATATATATATATATATATATATATATATATATATATATATATATATATAGATCAGACGTCAAGCTAAACAGACAGGGTTAAAAAAATATGATTGACCTTTTTCCCCATCACTTTCATTTTTTAAATAGTAATTAATAAACATTCGATACCATTACAATTTCCTTTGATTTAATTTTAAATAAATATTTAGAGTGCCCAGGTAGCACATAAACAGTGCAGTTTAACGGTTTTCTTAAAGTAGGAACGTTTAACCTGTGCGGCCAGAGCGCTCTCCTCCCTTCTGCTCTGCGTAAACCTGAGCTGGTCACCTACTTGTGCGTAATCAAATGTCTATAGGGGAAAATATGGAAAAGATATTTTGCCTCAGACCGACTTATTGCTGTTTTATGGTGTGGCTGAATCTGCGATCCGCTGCAGTGCGGACTGGAATAACAAATGATGCAGTAACATGAGTTCAGGTTCGGAGTCACTGGCTGGAGCGGACCCGACTTTAATACGTCATCCCAAAATAGAAGCCAATATCTTAATTTGACCTTGAATGAAAAATGTTATAAAACCTCTTAAAAGTTTTTATCACAGTGGAGGCAGCGCTAATTTCTGCCTTCAGTCTGACGGCGCGCCGGAGTTTGTTTTTGCTTATTGAATCTGTGTGTGTGTGTGTGTGTGTGCGCGCGCGCGCGCGTGGCACAGCTCCATGAGCCGCTCCAGTCACCGCGTCTCGTTATTGGCGCTATTTAAACCGTGTTACTTCTGCCCAGCCCAGATGTGCTCACATGTGCACCCGTGAGCCGTGGTTCCGCTGGAACGCGTCTGACCTCTGACAGACGCACTCAGAACTTCAGATCTTCAGCGCGCTGTTAATAGCCTGAATGGGAATCATTTCTTGTTATTTTGTTACATCCACAATGTTCTGTGTGTGAGGTTTACAATGTTAGAACACCTGCATGAGACAGGTGTTAATTACAATCTGCCAGAATGACTCACCACCTTCAGATTTCTCCAACATCGTTAAAAATGATCAAATACGGAACATATCGGCGTGCGCAGGCCAGAGTGCTGAAGCTCGGCGCATTGTTATTATGAAGTTAGGGCACATGCGGAGGACACGCGCGCAAAAATATACTTGTTTTCAATTACATTTATTGTGCCCACTTACTTTTTCTTTGGCCCACCCACAAATGGGTTTCTGGCTACGCTAATGGTGACATCTGACAGACTTCTCTGAGCTCCGCAGCCATTACACTTTTCACCTCGCGCACCCCCTAGCGGCAGCTCGCGCACCCCCGGGGGTGCGCGCACCACACTTTGGGAATCCCTGGTTTAATAAATCCTAATGTGGTTGATTAAAAGGATCAGGCAATTGTAAAAATGACCAAATGTTGCTTTTCTGACAACACAGATAAGAACTGAATAATACCAAAAGCTACAGTTTTTTATTTGGGGGATCCAAAATAATCCAGGAAGATGTGGTGGCTCTAATTCTGGATTGAGTTTTATTCATCATGATGGAATCCACACAGGTGCTGTTAAACAGGGATCAGGCTGAAGACAGAGTGGGTATTACAGCTACCAAAGAGGCTGAAAATGTTGCAAGAACATTTAGTAATGCAGAGATTAAATGTTTATTTGATGAAACAACTGAGCTTTGAGTCCACTTTATCACTTTCTCTAAGTTTATTAATTTCAACCAAATTACAGGTTATTCGATGGCTCACATTTCAGGCCTTTCGAAGAGTTCCCCCTCCAGGGGCTTTAGGGAATCTGGCCTTAAATCGCTGACTTCAGTTCAGAAATAAAAAAGTCAAGTATTTTCACATTAACTTCTACAACAGCATCCTCTCTGAACCAACATGCATAAACTCCGAGTCTCAATGGGGCTGTAGGCAGACTGTAAAATCATTACTTCACACCTTTTTTATGAATGTAAAGGCTTGCAGAGTTTGTTCAGAGTGGGAGGCTTGTTAACACGAAGGTCATGAGTTTGAGTCGCTGCAGCTTTACGAGTGAAGTTCATCTACCAGCGCCTCCTTTCATCTGATAGCTAAAGCAGGCTCCAGCTGCCTCCAACTCTAAAAGCATTAAAAAAAATTATCAATGATTATGCATCAAATTTATATGCAGGTTGAGACAGAATATTCACATAAGTTGGTTGCTGCAGCCAGATAAAAGGACTTTTATCTTGTCACCATTGTGCAGCTTTATGTGTTTTTTTATCAACAGCTTTTCAGGATGTTTTACCAGTAATGCAACAAAACTACAGTCTATGTCAGAAAGATGGCCAGAGTTAAAGTATTGTGTCGGGTAAATAGCATCTTTATTTGTTAGATTGTTATGATCAACATATTCGTTTTACGTGTTCGGGTAAAAACGCCAGTTTTGGCTACATTCTTCAACAAATTAAGGAACTATAATATTAAAGTCAAAGTTAAAGTCCCATTAGTCATCTCACACTGGTGAAAATCATCCCACATTTGACCCATCCCCTGAGGAGCGGTGAGCTGCAACTGTGTTCAGGATCTATTTGGTGGTTTAATCCCCCAATCCAACCCGTTAAAGCCAAGTATCAAGCAATGGGTCCCATTTTTAAAGTCTTTGGTATGACCCAACTGGGATTTGAACCCCGATGTGCCAGACCCAGGGTGGACCCACTGAGAAGGTGAATTGGAGCGTCATTACTCAGTACATAAAGCTTTGTTTTTAGGTTTGTGTGATGCTCCTCACCTACTTTGACCAAGAAGAGAGCCATGATACCACAATACCCCAGACAGGAACTGACAGAAAAGGCTTCTATAGTTGCAAATTCATGTAAGACTCTGTCATTGCTTTAGCTGACTTCACGTCCTTTGGGGATGTCTGTACTAAGCACCCTGCAGGTTGAAAACCAATAGTAGTTCCAACAAACCGAAGAGACAGGAGATGAACTTTTGGCTCTAAAAAATTGTCCACATGGTCTCAATCTTTACATGATTCAACACGAAAACTATGACAATTTAGGCTCGCTGCTGGGGCTCAGTGAAGGCTGGCACATTTTTTACTGCTGATGGGATGAGTCATTGGGGTATTACATACCAAACCTCATGGTCCAGAAAGATTAAATAAAACAAGAGCTGTGAATGCAATTAAAATCCTATGAATTCTAAATGAGCACTAGAGTTGTCACTCAAATCTTACATTCTGTGCACGATGGCTGCAGAATAAGTGCATCTATATATTTCTTCTGACACCGTGACACACATAGGGTCATATGCATTAAAGTACTTAATTCAGTATGAATAGTTTGTTTTTGCCTGCAAACTTGTTTTGCACATAAATCATGAGACCTATGTGCAACTATGAACCCAGAACATGATGAAGACTGCAGTTGAAAAAAGCAAATATTGTGTTTGTGTCAGTCTGAGGAGACAGAAGATAAAATAACAGGCAAATGGACACGCGTGTTTGTTTTGTGCGTTTACATGAGGACAGCGGCATTCTCACTGCACTGATGCATTTACTGATTTGTAACACGCAGTTATTAAACTTTCACCATTCATAAACATTGTTTTACACAATTACCTCTTTACTCATTGCCACTGATGGAAGGAAGTCTGATGTGCTTGTTTTTTTGCAGAAGTTTGCACTCCCCAGGGTTTTGTGACCCTAATGGACATCCGTTGGTAAGGTCTTAAGCCTAATTTATACTTCTCCGTCTGCGTTGGGACGGATGCACGCAATGGCAATATCTGTCCTTGCGAGCCTGCTGGAGAGCCCTCACAAGGACGGACAAAGTCCAGGTCTCTTCTCTAAACAGCCGATCATCGAGACGGAGAATGCAAGCTTGTGATTGGTCAGCACGCCGCTGTTGTCTACAGTGCCGCCACTGCACTTTCAAAAACAAAAATGGAGCCGAGGATATCTAGCAGAAGACACGGAGAAGCTTGAATACCTTGTGGAAAAACTATAAAAATATGAACGGTTTTATTCACCCGTGACTGGAGGAGTGAAAAGATACGCAGCAAGTGTTTTATTCGTGGACGGAAATGACGGGAAACGTGGGTTTTGCGGTGGCAAGTGCATGAAGAGGTGGAGGAGAATGAGGGACAAATTTGTCCGTGTTTAAAAAGTCTCTTAAATACAAAAGACACAATATAAACACAATATCTTGGACCGGATACATGACAGGATACCACAGAACAGCGCTACGCCCTCTGTTGTCCTGGTGGGGAATTGCTTTGCAACACTCCCCAGGAGACGGAGAAGTATGAGAGCAAAAGGTCTTCGTATGTGCGTGTCTCTGCCCGGTGGAGCTGACGGAGAAGTATAAATTAGGTCTTACTCCAACACAAAAATACAGCTTGCTTGCAACATTTCAGGTATCTACTGCCCCCTATCACCAGGAAAAACACACGCTGTCACTTTAAGTTGGAAAGCAGATTAATCGGGTTGACGGATATCAGCGTGATCTCCTGATATACAGGCTAAACTAATCTACTCAAAACTGGGCCAAAGAAATAGACTTTTTTTCATGAAATAAAGACTCACAGCAAGTCAAGGTTTTAAATAGTGGTGCATTTTCACAAATTTGTCAGTTTGTCTCGACTTTCTCATCAAAAAGTGTCCGCGTTACCGCGGGCCATTAGATGCACAGTGGCTGCTTTGGTGCCCTGCTGCTGATCAGCTGAGACTAAGAAGTTTAGTCAGACTTCTTGAATGAATCACTGCTGGGTGTTACTTTTTCAAAGATTTTAAATGAAATGTGTGTTTTGCTGTTGCAATCATTTTTTGTCACTTGTTTAGTTTTAGGTTTAGAAAAGCAGCTGGACAATGTCAACAGCTTCTCATTCATGGCATTCTTTTTTACTTAGTTTTATCATCCATGTCAATGTTTTGGTCTTTTGTTTGAAACATTTGTGCATAATCATTGTAAAATTTAAGTGTTTATAAAAAAAAAGTTTATACCTATTTAGGGATTACTAAGTCAAAAAGAATAACTACTGATATGAACCACTTACCAAGAGCCTGGGAGGCAAAGGCGGTCATGGCACTCTGCAGCCGATCGGGTCTGACGGCCTGAACCAGTAACAGCTGAATAAAAAGGAGAAGAAGTATAAACTCAGAACAAATATGACAATAAAACTTGTGAGAGTAAAAGTTTGTTTTACCTTACACACTCCAACTATTTCCCTTTCAGAGATGTTCTGTTTCATAGACTCATCTTCAAACTGCTAGTGCCTTGATGTGATTGTTCTTTATTCATGTACAAGACACATTAGTAAGTCAACTGTTTTACACTGTCCAGTGTTTTCAAACACAAGACAGCTTGATTAGGTTCTGCCCCCTTCGCCCAAAATACGGCTGCAATCACAACACTTTATACAACCTCTTCCTTTGACGCCAGCATCACAATATGTTTGTGTCTTATTGACTATACGTTCAAATTGGTACCAGAGGACAGCAACTTCATAAATAATTCATAGGTTTATGGCTCTACTTGGCTCCAAGAATTAGGTGACAGTGGGAGGGTAGATGTAAGAAGGAAATGTGTCTATTCTATATTTTGTATTTTTGAACTGACTAATTTCCATTTTATTTATTGCACAAAGTAACCATTAATCATAAACAATGGCAAAAAATACATATATAAATAAGATTTTTTTTTACATTTCACTGTTGAGAAATAGACTGAATCTGACCTGTTGAAAGAGACTGGTCTTCTTGGAAATGACGGCTGGGAATTCCTGCTCGCACTGTGAGCTTTGCATGAAGGCCAGCCAAAGGCCCGAGTCACTCAGACACAGGGTCTGGTAGAAAGCGGGGAAAGTAGTCTGCACAAACGTGAAGGAAAAACAATTAAAGCATGAAATGCTTCACAACGAATTCAGGCTTTAGTTAGAGAAATTGCGCTGTTGCTTTAACCATTTTGATATTTGATGTTTGCAGTTAAAGAAAAAAAATACAAACAGCTTATTTTATTTAACATTGCACATTAAGAAATGAAATGTTGATTTTACTCAACCAAGTAATGTCAACTGGTTTCACTAAACCTGGTTGCTTGAATGTAAGGAGTAATATAAATGTATTTTTAACATAACAACATATAACAATGTCATTTACTCTTTAAATACAAGCAACTTTAGTGGAACCAATTGGCATAAGTTGGTTTAGTTAATTCAACATTTTATTTTTTACAGTGTATCCACCTGTTTCCTATTATTTATGGGCAAGTTATTATATTTTAAATGTCAGTGTACTAATACAAATATCAGTATTAGAGATTAAACACATTATCAGTCTGTATTTCAGTGTGTTTACTTTCAAAATGGCCATTGCTCCATGCCTCTCCTGATCAATCCAAGAAGGAAACTCCTAGAACAGCAGAACACGAGTTAGTAAAATAAGACACAGCTCTTCATTCTGCTCAAAAATGTTAATAAATCAATAAAAAAGAACTTTAACAAAAGGAAGACGCCTCACCTCTTTCTTAAACATTTCTCCAACTATGGATCCAATCAAGACATCCCATTCCTACAACAAACAGATGCGCCCGAATTGTTAAATCTGCCAAGCTTCACACTAAAACCTCTACAACTTATAGCCTCTGAGTTTAGTAATACAAACTCTAAAATGCTGAAACTAAATCACTTACGTTATCCTGGAAGAGCTCTGGGTGCATGCCTTTTACAAAATGCATTGCAAACATCAACTGGTCAACCTAAGAAGGACATAAAAAGATTTGGAGCGTGTCAATCAATCTCCACAAGTCATCACTAAATCCCATAAAAGAAGATATTTTGTTCTGTTCAAAACCAAAGTGAAGGAAAATAAATCATTTGCATGCCTTCCAAACAAAAGAACCCTGCAGAATTCGCCCCTTGGGCTAGGAGCTGTGCACAGTCTGCTGCATCATCCCAAACACCCCCTCGGTGTGCCTACCCTAATGTCTTTCACATCTGCTGCTGAATTTGAAATGCGATAACAGATACAGCCATTAATCAGGATGCTTATCTCACTCCCACACAGAAACAAAGAGACAGCGACCAAGAGATTTCAGCTGAAACAGTAAACACAGACACATTTTGTTTGTGATATTGGACAGTCGCGCCTCTTAGGAAAGAATAGTCAAAGTGCATTATTCAAATATCAAACTATTATTGACTCTCTGGTCTTCACAGTCACAATATTCATTTATTCCTGGATAACAATGCCCCAGAACCCACAAACAGTTCACATTTTTACACTTGCAATGAAATGCAGCCACACTCCTTCAGTGGTTGTCATGCTAATTTATGTAAATCTAATTGTGTGCACTTAACAACTGATTGGCAGGGACACATGGATTAGAATAGCAGGCGAGTGAGTAATGTTGTCTTCAATGCTGTGCTTTGAAAAGTGTCAAAAATGAAATAAACTTGCTAATCCAATCAGTTCTTTCTTTATGTGTCACATGACAAATATGAAGAGCATCACTGTCTAATTGGCTGCTGTCTAACTCGCCTGACAAATGTTGCTTTTAGACAACAGAGTTGTATTTTCAGCCCGCAGTGTGGTAAGGGCAGGTCATGGAGTAAACATGGACGTCTAACCTTGCGTTTAAACAACCGCTGAGCACACGGCTACAATCACATATCGCCAAACTGAAACATCTATTTTTGTCCTTCACTTGGAAAATTGTGGGTTTCAGCCTCTCTTTGGCCTGAGGGGCAGGGGAAGCTTTTCCATTCTTTTGGCACCCTGCAGTTAGAGCTTTGTGTTTTTGCTGTAAGCAAAAGATACGGACGGTACTTTCACTTAAAGTGAGAATTATGTTAAACAGTTGCTCTAGGTGTGTGGAAGGAAACTGGGTCTTTGGTAAAAGCAGTGAAAATCACTTCACAGCGCAATAAGTACACAAAAAACAACAAGTAACTTGTTAATAAGGTTTTTTTTAAGAAAATAAGGACAAAATGATATAAATTTCCATAAAGCAAATGTTTGCATTTACAACACTTTGAGTTTTGGCAGATAAATCATATGTGCCGTGCATTTAAAGGTTTTTAACCTGAAAACACATGATGTAAAGGTGTGGTAGACTCCTGTGATAGATGAATGATTTGTAAGTCATTGGGGGGGGGGGGGGGGGTGTATTACAGATGGTGACACGGGTGCACCATTTCCAGGAACTACCAGTTACCCACATCACAGTTGAACTTGGAGTCTTATTTCCTGATGTCTGACAATCTCGCTCCAGATTGAGTAACTGACTTGCAACATGAATGTTTTATCCCCACAAATAACATGAGCCTGGAGGATTTCTGCCATGTGGTGAAGTTGCTAATGCTAACAGTTAGTTTATGCTAGTGAGGACCTTGTCTGCTGATTCCTGGATGCTAGAACAACAACAGCCTTCCCCGTCATGAGTGAAGATGGGTGATGATGTAACCCAGAAGCTAGAACCTTAATGAGGTATTAACTAATTGGCTTACTAATATGATCCATCCTCAATTTAGATAAAATATAAAATATAAATTAAAGAAATTAACAATACTAATTAATAGATATCTAATTAACTAATAGATAATTTCATAATGAATTATTGGAAGGGTGAATAACTAAAATAACGAGTTTAATATTAAACATCGGTTAAAACAAGAATCTTGAACATCACTAACAGAAACAGAAGAGGAAAGCTGTATACTATTGGTCCAGGTGGGAATCTGAAATTTCATTGGCTGAGAGAAATAAGTCCCGCCTCCGCGAAATAAAACCGTGCGACGCAGCTGAGCGAGAGGAGAGACAAACGGCTGTGCAGCACGCAGATACAGAAAGCAAAGACTGAGCGGTTAGAGAGAGAGAGAGAGAGAGAAAAAAACAACGGTCGAGGCCGTGAAGAACCCCGATTTGGGTGCCGCATAGATAGAGGGAGAGGCGGACTTGACTCCTTCTAATAAGAGCTAGGAACTTGGAACCAACGCGGTGAGTAAAGAAAAAAGAAGAGAAAAAGCTAACGATGCAACTTAAAAAAAAAGGAAACTTAAATAGCTTATCAAATTAATTCCATTCTTATAGATTTGTGTGGAGACGACAGAGTGAACCAATCCTCTGTAGGAGGGAACCGTTGGAGCGCGTTGGTGAGTGAATGAGATTAAATTCAGTAAATTATTAAATTCAAAAAGCTAATTACAGCAACCGAGGTGACAGCAGTGGGCTGCTAGACGTTAGATCCCAGGAGTTAACATCTCAAACTACCAGTTAACGGTGGTAGGGCATATAGGAGTTAACGGCTCAAACCGCCAGTTAACGGCGGTAGGGCATATGGGATTCCCAGGAGTTAACGGCTCAAACCGCCAGTTAATGGTGGTACGGCCTAGATGTACAAGGTCCTCAGGGGCGTTATAGCTAACGCCATAGAATTAGCAATGCGTCCCTTAACCAAACATTTAATAATAAAAAAAAATAGATAAATAAAAATAAATAAAAGCTAACTGATTAGGGAGGAATTATTTTACAAAGGTGGACCAAAGGACCAGAATTTATATTTTGTTGAATTTTGTTATAGAACATTTTATTTATTTATTTATTTATTTATTTATTTATTGTGTTACAGATATACAAGGTGTCACAATGCTGTATAGAAACACAACTAAATGTATCCTTGTTGTCATGAATGTATTTCTTGTTGAATAGTGTAGAGTAATAGAATCTAACTGAGCCTATTGAGCTGAACAATTGTTGTCATATGTAATTATATTTCCAGAGCTACTGAGAATTATTTTAATAGACAATCAAATTGATGTTATGTTAGTTGAACTGTGAACCCAAACATGATTGGCTATGCCAATAGAGTGAAGCATTTGTTTAAGTCTGTAAGACTTTATGCTGTGATGTGACGAGAAGGGTCGATGCCAACTCGCTAACAGTCCTGTTGTTTACAGGCTGGGTTTTTTTTTTTTCCTTGGGTTTGATCCCGACTCCTATGATCACTCACTTGGAACGAGAACTGGATTTCTTCCTGACGAGGGAGATGGCGAGCCTTAACCACTGAACGAACCAGGACATCTCAAGTAACTGAAGAGCAGACTGCTCTCTTCTGTGAACAATCTCAACGGTGCGGTAGGAAAAAATCGCACCACCGGACTCTGACTTTCACCCCAAGCGTGGGGATTTGACTTGACGCCGGCTGACTTGTGACTCATATGATCAAATCTCATACCGAGCATTTTACTATTGTCGATTGTTTTCATCTGTTTTTGTGTGTTATCTTTATGTGTTATATTTCCCATTATTATTAAAATTTAGTATATAAACCGTTTCATGCTATACCCGTGACTCCAGTCATTCTTAAACAACCTCCAATTCTCCCCGAACCTAATTATTGGCCCATTTGTTTATTTTTTCTTTTAATTATCTTATTGTATCCTGTAATCCGGTTACATAAAACTTGGCGAGCCAGCCAGGAGAATTGTAGAGTTGTTACCTTAGCTAACCATTGACTGACATCATAAGAGTGCCTGGAGGTCACAGTGGTTTGCCATTTTGGCATTATTGGTACTTTTGAGTGTTTTAAAATGGAAGTTGTGAAAACAGAAAAGGTCAAAGTTTCAAATGCTGTTTTAATCAGTGGGTTAACTGATACAGACCTTGATAACGAAGTCTTTGGGTTTATGGAAGGATTCGGACCAGTTAACAGGCGCATTAAGTTACCAAACTGTGATCAGATTATTGTGGAGTTTCAACATGAAGCCACTGTTAAGGAATTAAAGAAACAATGTTTACCCTATGACAAACCTTGTACTAGGAACCCAGATGTTTTCTTTCATATTCAAGACCTAGCCAGCGCGTACAGTCTAGAAACTAGCACATCTGCCACTGATGCCTATCTGTCAGAGCTCAGGGACATAGCTGCGCGTAGCAATCAATCATTTAAAGACCTTCTAATGGAGGAACTGGCAAAAATTGGGGAATCTTTAGGAAGGGATACCCATGCATCTGAACCAGTCACTGAACCAGAGCCAATGCTCCATAGTGACCAAGTTACATATTCCCTGCCTTTAACACCAGAAGTTAACTATATGAACAACTCAAAGGACAATTGTCCACCTACAGAGACTGGAAAACAAAACCCTTGCATTCCACCAAATCTTTTAAACACACCTGAGGTTCAGCGAGTTATTGTGGAACACATTGTTAAAAGCAGTGAGGTTATCCCTCCGCCTACTTCACAATACAGACTAAAACCGTTCTCAGGGCGAGTTCCACACCCTTCTTTTGAAACTGACTATGATACTTGGCGTAGTAGTGTAGTGTTATGCATAAATGATCCTTCACTCACCAAGTCCCAAATTGTACGAAGAATCGTGGAGAGTCTGTCAGCCCCAGCAGCGAGCATCGTTAAAGCTCTTAGTCCAAAATCCGACCCGGAAACGTACCTTGAACATCTCGATTCAGCTTACGCAGCTGTCGAAGACGGCGACGAGCTCTTTGCTCGCTTCTTAAACACAAACCAGGACAGTGGTGAAAAACCTTCCGATTACTTTCAGAGGTTATACACCTTGTTAAACCTAGTTATTCAGAGGAATGGAATTTCCTCCAGTGACGCCGACCAGCAGCTGCTCAAGCAGTTTTGCAGAGGCTGTTGGGACAGCTCGCTGATTTCAAACCTGCAACTCGAACAAAAGAAAGACAACCCGCCTCATTTTACAGCACTTCTCCTCAAACTGCGCACTGAAGAAGACA